TGTTTTGAAATCTATTCGAAATTTTCTGCCGTTGGCCAAGCCCATTTCTGGGCATAGTCTACCGCGTATCTCGTAGCTCATCTGTGTTTTGTACTTCTCGGCCCATACACCTCCCTCCAATCCTTCCCCTCCGCCCGTTCCGACCTCATATTTCACGCTTAAGCCAGGTACTCCTTCAAGTAATACCAAATTTGGTTAAAAACAGACAGACAGACAGACGACGCTTTCAAGTGAGTAGGGTACGGATTGTATATACGAGTACCTTTGAGCGCGTTGATTATCGCCACTTTACCACGTTATGAATCACGAACGGATCAGTAACAAAGTATAATCGCCCCAGCGCTATCGCGTTTGCGCAGTCGCTGAGCCACCTACCCACCTAGTGATTGAGCTCGTATGAAAACAGTGCGTAGAATTTCAGGCGATACGAGTCACGTTGGCCGACATTATTCGACCTTTGGAATGGATTCACATCTGTGTGGTGCTCTCGCGATCGGTGCTGAAACCTAGTCAGGTGTCTATTTTTGCAAATTGCTCACCAATAAGTATAAGATTCAAGCGTACGTATGTCAGGTTTTTTGTTATGAAAATATTGACTGCGTTCCTCTTATAAGGTTCATTTTTCTTGAGGCTACTGTCTATATCAACGGACGTGCTGTTTCAACACAACGGCTGCAGTATATCGTTCAAACAGCTGGAGGTGCAGCAACTCAATTGGCACATACACATGTTGTAAACGCTGTCATTGGTACTTTACCAGCGATGCGGCGGCCAAGTCGTTTACGGTCAGTGGTCATTTTTGAATTTCGTCGTATGATGTTGACCTTGGAGTATCTTCTAGATATCGACTGGCATCTACTTTTCTTATCGAAGAGCCACTGACGGCAGAACTAGTGCGCAGCATTTACGATTTACAGCCACATTACGTAGGCAGTCTTCAAGCGGTCGGACAAGAAAGAACATCTCTTGTTCAAGAAGAAAAGGTAGGGCACACTTCAAAAGGCTCAAAGAGTATTTCAAAAAATTCATTGTAGATTGTTCTTGCCCTAAACGGCATGGCAACGAGCGAGATGACACTGGCGAAAATTCGAACTGTGCACAACAAGATGGACGCTGAAATTTTGGCACCTCATGTAATGCTTCATGTTTTTTGCTTCTTATTTTACAGAAGGCTTTGATAAGATTTCAAGTTCTTTCCCGTCTCCTATATTTTGTCTTTTCACTTCGGTAATTCACACATTTATAAAACCAAGCTCACGATTGAAAGTAACCCTTAGAGGCTCGAATCGTAATCGAGTGGGTGTGTTGTTTTGTTCGAAAATTCGACAAAAGTGCGATGGGGAACGTCAGTGGAAAAAAAAGCAAAAAGCGCCATAGAAAACCCTGAATTTCCCTTGTGAGGTCGGCTGTGGTATGACGGAGAGACACAGCGCTGCGAGGAGAAAGGTAATGCGAGAGAGTGTGTCGTATGCGAGAGGGCGCAAATGGTCCGTGTGCGCGATTGATAAGGATGGTAGCACGACAGCACACACGGCAAAGCTTTGACACCGTCACCTGGCACCCTGCGCCTAAAAACTCCTTTATTTCCTACTAGGCGGGACTACTTATTAGCACCTAATCTCGACCCGTGGCTTTGGAAAAGGATTTCACGATAAGGTCGGAGGTCGAAGAGGATGAAATATAGTAAGCATTAATCGGAAGGCAGATATGCACCCTAAGGGTGCGGAACGATGCGCGTTCTGCAACGAAGAGTACGTGCCCGTGCCCTAGCTGCCTAGCAAAGACATAACCGCGCCACGGCGCCGCTAATGCTCTCTCTCTCCCTCTCACCGCCTGGATCTAGCAGTCGACGGAGAGAGGGAGAGAGAGCATTAGCGTTGGAGGGCAACAACGTTGAGAGTCGCATGAGTGCGGAAATCATAGAGCAGAGAATGGATCCCATTTTTTGGGTTTTGGGCCGTTCTCATAGTTTTGTCTTACACCTGCACTACGGATCACCTCCAATTTGATTTCTGATGGGCTTTGACCTTAACCGTTGAAGTGCTTCTGATGAAGTGAGTGAACGGAGTGTGATGCAAGTAAAGTTTTTCGTTTTGGCCATACATAAGCGATTCGAAAACGTACAAGATCACATCTGAGAAATTCTCCACTACCAGGACTATGCGGCGGGCCGCACGATCTGGTTCAAACACTTGATGATTACGGTAGTCAACGGCCTAGAAACCTAGAAATGGTATCCCTCCCTTGCTCGTTGATGTACACATTGATGCGACCCTCATCTTGAACGCTCTCTCTCTGCTACCTAATCTCGCCACGTATAGACCTATGGCGAGTGATTAGATAGTCGGTGGGCGTACCCCGCCAACCGCGCCAAGAGTGAGCCATGCTAGATCGCCGAGGTCAAATCTTTCGCTGCCAATTGCGTGTCAGTCCGCACGAGCAGGAAGTGCGCCCGTCTCACCACTAGGCAATTTTCCTTTCCTGATCCTTTGATCCTCTAGTGGATAAGGGACAGTTTTGTGATCAGCATTCCGAATTTATTTATTTCTTTGTTTATACGCTCAAATGAGTGCGCCAGTAGAGAGGACTTTCGATTAGGACACGAATAATTCGCACCAGACGGTATTTTTCGAATAACTTAATTGAATGAACTTCTTTCTTTTCAGTTGGGCATATCATCGAGCGACAACAGCACTCCTCTGCGAATCATGACCAATACCGTTGCTCACGCTCCAGGCGCCGGTAGAGCATTTGGGGCAGTGAT